CCCCAAAACCCCAAAACCCCACTAAACTATTTGATTAAATATTTGGTTAAAGAATAATATTTGCTTGAAATGTTAAATTAATATTAAATCAACAGCAGAGGTAAAAGTTCTTTAGTTTATATTCATAAACATGATTCTTATTTGATACCACATTTCTCTGAACTAATAATAACTTTAGATCATTCCCTCTTTTAAACTAAAGAAAGTTTGTGAATTAGAGAAAACTACTTTGTAAGCCATGATAAAATAGTTACTAATATGGTATTCTTAGCATCACTTCAAGGCTAAATTTGTCTAACAAATGAATATTTCCTTCATTCACTATCCAAATGTATTTACTATTTAGTTTGTCCTTTGCTGCAACTCCATGAAAGGGTTGTATTACTGAATTGATTCTTGGACTGGAAATCATAATCTATCTTTCAGAAACTCATTTTGGATCTTCAAGCTAAAATTAGTACAATAAGTCTGAATAGTATCTTGATGAGAGGAAAGTTTGAGGACTAATCTCTATTAAATTTCTTAAAAAATGATCATGTAATGTCTAATGAGTATTTAAGTTACAATCAAGACCGATTACCTAGCCAATATCATCATTAAGAACCTTTGCAACCGTTACTCCTTTAGATGTTGCAAAGACAATATAAATCAAATCAGTATTCAGTTGATCGGTACATGAAATATTATTCTTAGCTCTAGATATTTTTGATTCAATTGATACTGTTGGACTTTCAGGATATTTTTCATATCTTGATTTAATTGGCACTGGTATTAGTCTCCCCTTACAGAATACCTCAAAATTTTTTATAGAAACGATTTCGTAGTTTGTATGTTAATCTCTTAGCATAAATTGATAATCCTTTAACTTCAATATTTCCTAAATGTTAAGTTATCTCTTGACTACTTTCAAATAATTTCTTTTTGTGTTATATGAATACAACAATTTATTTTAATCATTAGGAGTATAGTCAGAACCATTGCAAACAAGATAAATATTAGAATCTTTCTCAGGCAATTAAACGCTCCAAAGATTTTTTAATATAGTTATTTTTCTAATTAATTTCATTTTCTTTGTTAGAATTGCTAAATGAGGATGCTTTTTTTAAATACGTTTCTATACCTATCGATCAAGCAATGCTATTAATTATCTTGCTTTTCTATGATTGTGTAAAGACATAACGCTTTGTTGGAGGAAATTTTATAATAATTTATTTTAGATTATAATGTCTTTGAATTCATTTGAAATTACTAAAGGCTGTATAGTTTCAACCATTTTTATGATTATAAGTAAAATTGATTATAGTGATATCTAAATTTATTATTAATTAATTTTTTATCATCTTAATCACTTAATAGATATCTTGGGGTTTTGGGGTTTTGGGGTTTTGGGG